AATTGCCTATCAATATACCCTTCCAGGTTCTGAAGAAGACGATTCTGCTGAAACATCAACTTTAACAGAAAAAATAATAAAGGAACACCTCGTGTTTGCTCAACAAAAATATCGCAGACGTACGCATTGATGGAAAATTCTTATCGAATCTTCGTTTCGCGGATGACATCATCATCCTTTCGAGGAATATCGGTGAAGCAGCTGATGCCCAACGATCTCAAAGAAGCGAGAAAAAAGATTGGACTGAGCATAAATGAGGAGATGGCGGTTCATGAAAAACCCGTGGTGCGAACAGAAAAAATTGGATGGTTCTCTGATTTTTTACTGTAAAAAACAGGTGATCTCTGAATAGAGAGGCACCCCCTTGCGCATGTACCATGGTTGTTCAATGAACATGAAGAACAACATGAAGGAGGAATTAGATAGAAAGAGGAAATCAGTAGTAGCCACATCCGGGCTTTTCAAAGAAATCACTGGCCAATTAACAGACCCATTACTCTGCCCTCACCTTGTTGTTTCAACACTACCGTTAGCTCTCTGTTATGCACCACAGACGTGGCCTAATACTTCAACCACGTCAAGAAGTTTATCACCACCTACTGAGCTCTAGAACGATATCTTCTGAAACTCAACCGGCACTCACAACCTCTAGCCGAAATGCGCGGCTCAGATCTTTGAAACCTATCCCATCTTTGGATCCAAGAGAATATACATTGAAAGCGAAGCGCAGATGAGTCGGTCACATGATAAGAACTTCAATTCGCAGATGGACGAGAAGAATAGTGGAGTGGACTCTAAGAGAATGCAAGTGTTCGCTTGAAAATCCACACAAACAATGAGCGTACGTGTTCGTGGCTAACGTCAAGCGTCTACATTCACAGTTGGAATCAATTTTAGGAAATTCGATTGAGCTTCGAGGAGGTCGCCGTGTTACCATCAACGTGGACGACGATTGCGCGAGAGAAAAACAAGTGGAAATTATCCTGAAGCCCGCAGTATCAGTGAAGATGGATCATCTAGGTATCTATGAGAGGACTTCGGGTTTAATATTGGCTTCTGTGGTATGCGCATTCATTCCAGCTATTATACTCGAGGGAGAATAGCACAGTTTTAGCGCTGTCAGTCATCCCAAGCAATATGCTAGTACGATTGCGCTCTGGGATAACCAAACCTCTCACCTCTCCGGAGGTCACGAATTGGCATCGGACTTGTTTTGGAAAACCCACTCTCTGCAATCCAACTGAGAACGCTCCAGCACGGCTATCTCAGGACTCCAGCGAGAATCGACTTGACCAGCACTCTACGACATTCGAGATGAAATGAATACCCTCAAGCAGTAGCCAAAGCCACATGTAAAAGTTGGAAGATCTTTGTGAATAATGGATAAGAGGAAACGAATCAAATGTGAGAAGTGCTGGAATTTTCACAATAGACGAGGATACTGGTGACGTAGGAAAAAATTATTCTCACAACACCCAGTGATGTTACACACATCCTTTTCAAACGCATTTATTCTATGTTAGCAATTCTTACATTTTATACTTTTTGTACATTTTTTATAATCTTTAAAACTGATAACCTTTTCATTACGCCTCGGAAAGGACAATAGCGCGTTCGTTCCTCACCGCAGACACCTGCGGTTCGGAGTTTTGCAAATATCTCAGCAATCTTGTGATTGTATTTCGCTTAATACCTTGCCATAAAAATAATAGAAGGCAGAAAATAAAAAGTAAACATAAAGATCAATAGATTGGCATCCATAAGCTTGAATGGTATTCGAAGTGTGATCTAGCACGATGACGTAACAATGTCCAACTGAATTCACATACAGGTGAATTTTGCCATCCTTCAGCAATTGCTGGCTACCACGACTCAATCATCTGTTGTCTGACTCGCTTTGCTGTTAGCCCGCAAAAACTCAAATCATGCATAACTTGTAAAACTACCGCTGCTCTCTATCCGACGTAGGTCCAGTGCATATCCTCTCCACATTCGCTGCTTTGCAAAATGTTAAATTCAAAAGATACCAGCTTGCTTATTGAAGTACCATTCTTTAAAATTATTTTAGAAGGTTCCAGACAAGCTTGTTACAAGTTCCCGGGTTTCGTTGGGACGGAAGACTCGTCGACCTCACGTCGCGGGATCGAACCATACGACACGTGCTCACGAAACGATGGCACCTCTAAGCACCACGCTAAGCATGCACATAGGGATCTCTGTACACGACCTGAAATCAGAAGTAATGAAAACTTTCCGCTACATTTATGTGAAGAAAGCGATGCCACTAATATGAGGCGTTTGACCGTCCAACTTCGAATAAACCTGAGTCGTACTCAAGGGTCGGAAATGCTATAGAGGAATGTAAATACGTAAACGGAGTAATACCAAAACGACAGCATAGTATACAATGCTATGGAGAAGTGGTTCCAGTGAAACATAGAATATTCTCTATAGTAGTTCTCATTTTCTTACTACCAATGAACAGCCGAGAGGAAAACAATCACAGTTTGTCACTTGTTAATTTATCAATACGTTATGCAGTCTTTTAAAATATAACATACCACACTGTTATAGTTATAGTTAAACTGAAACTATCATTTAGATGACAAGCGGTAAGCTCCTTAAATTCGCGTTTGATCATCAGAAATGGAACGAACAGAAACGTAAGTTAACGATATCTGCTATCACCCTTTCGCAAGTTTTCCTTCTTTCTGTCGTTCTTTGAAAGTCGAATTGTTCTACCGTCGTAGACAAAAATATCAAAGAATAATGTTAACGTTTTAGTTACCAGGATCGACTTTCTATTAACCTTGGCATTGAAATATGAATGCGTTATTTTATTTACCACCTACTACATTTTTCCACGGTAGAGTATTATGTTTGATACAACCACAATGCTACTACAACCAGTGGCGAAACCAAGGACCCGTATGGTGTGGTGCTGAACTCGTTAGCTCCTGGTAAGGGTAATAGTGGGTTCGTACGCTACTGCAGACGCCTATGGTCCGGAGTTTTGCAAATAACTCAGCATCATCGTGGTTGTATCTAGGAATAATTTCACTTGCCTGTAACGTGAGTAAAAATCGTCATATGTAAGCGCTTTGTCAACCAACCTCTTTTTTATCAGTATTACTCAAAAACGAGATTAGATGTGGGAATGGATACTCTATGCGAAGTATAGATCCTTTTGTTATTGAATCCGCAATATTTAGGCATGGCTGCAACAATTCATTTGGCTTGCATTCTTGCAATTATCGTCATTGTTTTGACGGGCACAACAGCGCTATTCTACATAGGACGTGTAACTATTTTAGCACGTAAAATGCTTCGTGGGTTCAATTTACGATCGGATTCCATTTTTCTGCACTACATGTAATGCTCTGAACAAATCGCTAAACTCCAAGGAGAGCTGAAATTTTTCAAAAACCGACCTTCATTTTACCTCAATGTGACTAATCAACATGCAAGTAAATTGTTAAGCTTACACGAGGTTAATAAATATAGCTTATTTAGCTAACGTCTCGTCACCTTCATCTTCGTCAAGGCCGGTGATCCGAGTCGATGGTTTACAGTCGTTCATCTTCTCGATGTGACGTCTTCGTCTTCGTATCGAGTCAGATCTTCCTCAATGGAGCCTCGCTCAAGTGAGGCAAACTCACTCGGCGATGCTCTTTTATACAGGATCGTTGTTATCGGAAGCAGTGATTCTCCGGTGGGAACCACTTGTTTTCCTGGACAAAGAAGGCGAAGGCGCCGCATCGAGAAGGCGAACAACTGTGAACCATCGGCTCGGATCATCGGCTTTGATGAAGACAAAGACGTCGAAACGTTAAGCGGATAAGGTCTATTTGTCAACTTATTGTAAGCTCAACAATTTAAACACTTGGCGGAATTTTTATCCATCCTATTTGCGGGGCGGATCTAAAGCTGATTTCCACGTATTCCAATAGCACGGATTTGCTACGATTTTCGAAAGATGCCTTCTGGTCTACTGCTGGTGCCGAAAGCATACCTATATACAGCTTTCTGGGCTAGGTCCTGCACAGCTAGTTCAATAGTGGTGACGAAGTGGCTTTTCTGAGACTAGTCATAAGCCAAGCCTTCATTCACTGGAGGCGATTTTCCTATCGACTTGTGCCAATCACAGTAACTTCGTCTTAGCATCTCTTTCATGCGGTTCGTTATCTCGCTGGCGCCATGCATGAAGGTCTTCGGGTATTCGTATAGGTTCACATCCGAGTGGAGAATTCTGTTTTGTTCAGAAGTGTTGTCGAGTGCTATTTGAGCATGGTTTTCCCTTGAATGCCGCAACAACCATGTTGCCGCCTCCCTCGCACAAGCGCAATCTTTGTTGAATCGGTGGGAACACTTTTAAAACAAATATAGAACTTAATACACCAATACCAGTCACGAAAGGAAAGTGAAGTACTGGAGGTCTGTCTTTGTACCTATGTTATCTTGCACAATATACAGCAGCTACAGATGTGCGGGAGACTCCACTCCAAACCCAGCCAACCAGTGACATCCTCCGAACCACTGACGATATCATTGACCAATTTGAGGTAAGCTTATTAAAACATACGTTACGCCCTTATTGAAAGCAAAACGACATAAATCGGTAAGAGGTTCATCAGTTCGTAGCGATTTTCACCGAATAACTTTTCAAGCGACAGCTCCCATTTCCATGTAAAAACATAGAGCCAGTGCAGAACTGCCAATATTGAAAAAAAAGAATACCTCCTACATGTGAAAGTAAAAAAGAAATGTGTAAACAGTAATTTTTCAGACCGGATCAGAAACGAACAAGGCTGCATAGTCGACTAGTATACTATTGTCGTAGATTTGAAATTATTTAAATTCAACTGTATTCGGATATTCGATTCGAATGTATTCGAATAAAACGAAGCCGTTTCCATCCATTTTTACAAATTACAATTTCTATTCGATTAACTAGAACAACGAAAATGAAATGTAGTGATGCTACGTTAAATGAGCTTCTCTTACTTCCCTTGCTCATCGTCTTCGGCTAAGAATTTCTCCTGTAACAAACCATGGATATGGTTGGACGCGAAACACAATAAACAGTACGTCAAACTAATTCGGACCAATAAAACGGACCATTTGATCGAGTTCTTCAATATGATGTCCCTTCGGCGCTCGTGGCAGACGTATCGACATTCGTGCCGATTTCAATGTTCTGTTTCTGGAACACTATAGCAAAAGAAAAAGAATCACAACACCATAAATGTACATATTTTTAAAAAGTTTCGGTGTATGCGATTTATTTTCGTCTTATTTTTCCTACGCCAGCAGCGGTCGACAGCCATTGGAACAGCGCATTTCGTACCAAACAGTGACTAGTTCGCTGGATTGCCATCACTCTAGAAGTTTATTGGTTTTATCGTGAGAAACATCCAACCTTGTCATTGTTACCAATAAAGGAGCTCCACGAAAACGAAAGTGAGAAGACTTTTGAACGGTTGAAAGGTTACGGAAATAACCGTTCGCGCCATCTGTTACCGAAGTGATGAAAGATGGGTTACAGTAACTGAACTTTGGACTATACATTAGGGAACACGTAAGGTGATAGAAGTGACGTAATGGTGAGTGCTGGTAGAGTGAACGTCACAATATGAACGCTTTCAAGCTTGCTTGTAACTGACAGATTTCCAATAACGTAATCTGGAGGTTCTTGATGTTGTAGCAAGTGAAAGAAGCAACAGCTGGCCTTGATATAGAAACGTCATCGAGTATTCCCTTCTAACTATTGCCACTTTCGAGTCGCTTACCTTGCAAAAAAAAGTCATAGATTTATTTGCTATAGTTGAAGCCTCTACGACCTTACATGACCCTATGACTTCCATTAGTTAACTTCTTATGAGTCAGCTTTAAGCGACAAGAAAAATCCGTACGTATTTGGTGCAGTAGGAAAGTCAGCTGCTGTGGTTAGTAGAAATAAAAAACGGTGGACAAATATTTTCGAAAAACAAGACTGTAAAGCGTCTTATAAATCACATACATAACCAAGATATAGAAAATGTATGATACAATGCTCACGGTTCCATTGGTTTAAGTCCGCTATCCAACTGAGTGTGTTGCTGAAAAAGTACTGACTAATTAATCGATGAAAAACAAGTTAAATAGCGTTGGAAGTAATCAAAACGATTTAAAAGAAAAAGAGGTTTGGGTGTATAACAGTAAATGAAAAAGGATAATGCTCTCAGCGTTGATCAATTCCTTAGTGATGCGCCTTGCATTCGACTTCACTAGGCACCGTTGAAGGTGATTGAGTACATTTCTAACCTTTACAATGACTCTCGGTGACCTACTGATGTATCGAGTTAGTGACGCCATCCATCGTTGCAGACGAGTCTGCTACCAACTAACCGACTTCGGAGGGATGGAAAGCTTGGCGAGCTTAGGTGCAAAACGGATTCCATCAGTTTGGCAGGGCGCCTCTAGCTACTGCGCTACCCGTCCCCGTGTTTAGCAACAGTGCAGAACAATTCCGCTTTTGCTTTTTTTGAGATGAGAATCTAACGAATTCGTCGGGAGGCTGTAGCTTTATCTCTCAGTGGAGTCTTCTACAGAAACTGAACGGTCCTGATAGGAATGGTAGCCCGTAGCTTTCCGCATTCTGGGGAAATTTTTGAAAAGCAAATGAGCATCGTGGAAATAGAAAGAAAACACTTCTCTTTAGAAAATCCATGAAAAATCTTATTGTTCTCCACGAATGTTCTCAAATGAAGAAGAAAACAGAATTCACCTCTTCACTACGTGATCTCGATTGAGTCGATTGCTCTTCCTGAATTATTACTGTACATGAATATGTTAAACACCAACACACTTGAAATCTCTCACTCGAATGCCTCATTAATCTAATCAATAATATTCAAACAATCGATCGATATTCAATCATTACTCGTTACTACAGCTGGTGATGCATCGCATTAGAGACTTCCCCATGAAAGCACCTCAGAATTTCTTAAAAGTGAATCGTTTTCAGGTTTGTTATTTTCCATAAAAGCCTCATTCAACTTGAATAGTCGGAAAAATCCCGCTATACAAAAGAAATTTCAGATTCTGCATAGGTTAGTACTCTAAAATTTTAATGATGTTGTAAAATAAATAAGGTTTGTCCTTTGCTTATTAACAAATTCAGACAACATAACCGTAATCGATAGCAGGAAAATGCATTCAGAACCTTCGTTGTCTGTGTCAGTTGTTCTTTGTAACGTGAAAATAGCGAAAGCGTCGATTTTTCCTTCCTTTCCACCGTACCCGCCTAAACAGAAAGATACAGGGAAGGCACTGAAGTATACTGTACCATAACATCCGAATTCAACAATAACGCATTTTTTCTTGTTAACGAGCTGTAATTCCTGTATTTAATAGTGGATGGATGACATTAGTTGGGAAAACTCAGCCAATAATATGTTCATAAAAATATATTTTCTGGAGATCTGTTAATCGCCAATTTTAAATTCGATCCCTACACTGACAACTACTACTATTTCAGTGCATTTATTCAATCTTACGAACGATTCATCCTTCCTTAATCTTTCAATCTTAACGTACTACATTGTAAACCGTTTCCCTGTCTAATGAACACTTTCTCTAACCACAGCTGTTGCAATGAATACGTGGAGAAATGCAGCTCACTTTTTTCAACGGTCTAACACTGACGACCTGGGGTTTTTGTGGATAATCTGAAGATCTCTGCCTCAAAGTAAGCGCAATCATCTGGAATCGTTTGCGGATACTGCTCAGCGAGGCTAACATAAAAAAATAACTAAAATGTCTGCTTCTTTTTGAGAAGTTACCGACAAGAAGCGTGTTTAGATAGATTGCTAACACAATCAGGTAACCGCATGCACAACTACGAAGAGTTGTAGCGACGTCGATAAATGGTGGTGGTTCACGATCCTGAAAACTTGTGAATAACACGCTTGAATTCATGGAGAAAACAAGAAAAAAAGGATTGGATGATACCGTAACAACCATATAAGGTGGAAGTGTATTTTGCTATCATTTCAAATTAGCGCGAGAAACCCATCAATGATAGCGCAGTCGAAGTGGTACCCGTTTAATAGACCTCCCAGATATTGGCTCGACCCGCTCTGGATTCATCAAGCTTCTTATCTCACCGAAATTGGGTCTTGGCAAAAAATTTCTGTGGGTGAAGCACACTCTCTCCAAGAATCGATTCGACCAGAACGCAGCAAGTAGCAGTGCAACGAAAATTGGCAGGACCTAATTGATAGTGCAAGCCAAAAAACGAATCGAATGCAAGAAACGATGGGATCACCGCAATGCGATACATTTAATAAATATAATATAATCATATAACAAATAAACCTTTCCAACAGACATTATGTAAGCGCTGCTATCTCAGTCATCTTAGGAGCGCATGTAGTGCAGTGGTGGCAGGCGCCTTGCAGTTTTTTGGTAACTATGGGATCGATCTCCGCGACCCCAGACCCACCGACCCTCCATTCTCCCGGAGGAGCAAACTGGTAGCGGACCTGTCTGGGAGGAGAGTAGTACTGACTTGATACATCGGTAGACCACCTCGAGTTACTGTAAAGGCTAGATATGCCTTCAATCACCTCCAGCGATGATTGATGAAGTCGAATGCACGGCGTTTCCTTCAGGGATAGATCAACACTGAGAGTTTTATCCTTTTTATCTCAATTACGAAAATTTTCCTAATTCAAGGCTAATTTTATGAAGAGGTTTTTATTGATGCTCAAAAACGTTCTAAATTGGGAAGTTACTCCAGTAGTTGATAAGTCTACTACAACAAGTGACCTGAATTGTACCCGATGAAGGCGAATTTCTAGGGATGTGTGGACTCTATCTTTAAGATGAACAACCTTAATACTCATGGTGCTTTTCTAAAGTCAAAAAATTCGACGATCAAAACGTGTAGAGCACGAGCCGCTTGATAAAGGAGGAGCACACATGAAATGCTATAGAATTCTTACATAAACTTCACTCATGACGATGACGTGTGAGCTGCTGTTACCCTGAAAACATAATATTTAAGTTTCTTAAGTCATCTTTATATATATTTATATATCATTTTTGACAGCGGTTTTCACTATTTACTCGGTCTGGATCTCAGAACGTATGCATATTGATTGCAGTGGCTGCCTATTCGAAATGCGATTCAACGATTTTTCGGTTGAATTTCACTAAAAAATGAATGTTGTATGACAATCAAGAACGTTTTCCTTCCAGAAAGAAAATGTTTACTGCTTGTTGGTAAACGACCGACATTGTGTACTACAACTTTTTGGAACGTGGGCAAAAGTAAGAGTGCAGAATGCTGTTGTGCTGAAATCAAATCGATCCGTCGGATGTTCGCCAAAAATCAGGATTTATTAGTTGCCCAGAAAGGACAGGCCCTATATCCGAAAGCGTTCTGTGCCAAGCTTCGTAAGGATTAGACCTATCACTATCATTTCCTTGAAAATCAAAGCAATCCTCTACACCACTAACTGTTACCCGTAAAACGTCCTCTCCATTCTTACCAAATCCAGAGATCGAAGGTTTTTCTCACACATTTAGAATCTTTAAGCTTATACCACATCTATGAAACTGTAATAATTTAACAGTTCAAGCTTGACTGCTGATGGTATTGTTAGGTGGAAAAAATAGCTGAGAGACACCGCGGAGTAAGGGTCCACGTGGCGAAGCGTGTAATGTGCGAACACCCAGAAAGGGTAACCGTGGTTCGATCTGGCCCGGTTTTCGACATTTGAAATATCTCAGCATCGCTTTGGTTGAAGTTCAGACTTCGTTTGATAAAGCTAATTCTGAATAAGTGGTAGTTAGCGTTTTAAATTTCAACATTACGTTAATACTGAGGCGTTCATAGCGAACAACGAAATGTGTGCTGGATGATATCCAAAGCACTTCAGGTTTAGCAGTAAAAATCACATTATCGAATTGTAAAACTAGGAATTTGAGTTAAACAATCTGAAAAAGCTTCGAACATTTTTGGTAAGGACTGTATCTTAATTGAAAACTATCATCTGCCATCGAAAACATCCATGCAAGCTTCCCAACACATCACTAAATCAGCGAAAATTCCATTAAATACTCACCGCAATCCCACGAATACGAGGTAAAGATTAACTTAAAGTTACTTCACTGGAAGAGATAGTCACTAAGATTGAGCATTAGCCGCTATGCAATCGTTATCACTCCTATCAGCTGTATCACTTGTATGGTCGTTGTTTACTGTCCAGTGAGTAGAGTGAGCACGAATAGAAATTTCATTCGTTCCTGTTGTCGTGACAATGACGGTTTAATGGAAAGATTTCTATAGATTCTGGTTCTAAACCGCCAACGAAAAAACCTTATTGTAAGAAAAAATACAGCTAAGTATAATTATAAGGAACTAATCCTCAGGAATATGAACTGTTGCAGTAGTCGAACTCTTTAAGATAGATGGATTAGTTATACATTGAGCTATACAACTCTAAGAGTATCACAAAATTAACTGATTTAATATCTAAAGATCCCATTCAATGGAAATAATTCTAGTGTTCGTTGTACTTGACAAAACTGTAGAATAACTTGCTAGCCTTCAGCCACCCGCCATATCGCTTGCCTAGAATTCGCAGCTGCTTCCTCACCATCTCTACGACGATCCCAGCTTGCTTTTCGCCTCTATCCTTAAACCTGTTGAACCAATTGGTGGTCACGAAATGATTCTCTATTTTATGCGATATGCAACCACAGTGGTGCTGAGATGTTTTCAAAACTCCGGACCACAGGTGTCTGCGGTAGGGAACGAACGCGCTTTTACCTTTACCGGAGCTAACGCGTTCACCGCCACACCATGCAGATCTTTCGTTTCGCATCTCTCTCAGCTAATTTTCTATCGGTCAGTGCCATCATCAACCACCGCGCTAGCAGGATTGATCTGGGCAGCCCAAATCGGTCAATCCCGTTGACGGGTGATTACTGATGGCGCGGGGTGATGGAAAGCTAGTTGAGAGAAACGCATAACAAGAGCTTCCGTGGTGCTGTGTGTAATGCGCGAGTCCTCGGAAAGGGAAATCGTGGCTCGATCTGGCCAGTGATCCAAGTTTTGCGAATATCTGACCGTCGTTGTGGTTGTTTTCGCATAATACCCTACCATGAAAATAGTAGTAGGCAGTAAATAAAAAAGTAAACAGTGGATCGTAGTATTTTCTTACACAGGTCTTGCAAAGATCCCCGCATGAGAAATGGTTGGTAGGTTTAGCTTATGATAGAATTCCATTCATCTGCACTACCTGTAATCCCATGAACAATCGGTTAACTCGGAGGAGAGAGAGAATTACTATTTGTCTTTTCAGGTATCATAGCTACCCAGTGTTTACCATTTCGCTCACTCCCAAGGTGGTAGCGTGACTTTCTAGAGGTGTCCCTGTTCCGTTTCTCGTAGCTAAAAAGAGCACACGGTTACTTTGAGAGCGCTTCCAGAGCTAAACATTTACACGATTAGCTGTTGAATGGCCTTTCCCATACCTAATCTGTTGCTTTATTTATTGGAGGCAATGCCCTGCTTTCTCTCACATCATCACGGTTATTTAAGCGCAAAAATTCAGCTGAATCCACCTACAGTCCGCCGTACTACCAGTCAATTCTTCACCAAAGGCACCCATCATTCCTTGCGAATCGCTAGCTCTTCCAAACCAAGTCTGGTACCAGTATAGAAATATCCTAACCATAATAAGATAGCGAAGCAGTGGGGGTTATTTTTGAGCCTGTGTTGCTTTGCACAATATCCTTGAGCTGCAGGTTTGCCGGACGTTTCAGTGCATTCCCAACGAACTACGTAGTCTTCGCACCATCGAAGGCATTACTGATCAATTTGAGATCAGCTGTTAAAAACGCTTGTACTTTTGCAATAAAGTCAAATTTGAAATAATTAGGTGAAAGATTTTTCCACGCATACTAAGATAAACTTTTCACTTTTCCCAAGTGGTGCGCCAAACGGCTACTAGCGAACCATTTAGCCAAAATAAAGTTACTGCAAAACTGCTAAGAAGAAGAACTAAGCAAATGTAGTCGAGAGGTGTACTGTTGGCACGGAAATGAGATTATTCAAATTGAGATCTATAAAGATTGGAGTACAACGAAACGGTTTCGAACCACTTTACAGTTTACAACTTCCGTTCTGACATTTATGGTTAAAAAACCAAAAATGAGCCGAGAAATTCATGGGCAATAACTAAAAGTATTCGTCAAATGAGTTTCGACCTTCACTATCTTCCTCCTTCATCGTCTTCGGCTAAGAATTTTTCCTGTAACGAAACGTTGATACGGTATGACATCCTGCACCATAAATGGTGCTTTAGAGAAATTCGGATTAATAGTTAGACGAACCATTTGTTCGAGTTCTTCAATGTGATGTCCTTTTGGCGCTCTTGGAAGGCGCAAAGATGTTTCTGCCTCCTTCAGTGTTCTGCTTCTGGAATACAATAGCAAAGAACAATAATGACAACACCACAAGGTGCATATTTTTAAAAAGTTCTGTTGCTTGTTTTTTACTCTGTCTCTGTTTTGTCAATGATAGACACTTATTCGTTCAGCACATTTCGGATTAAACTTTCAGTGACTGATTGACTTGATTACCGTCATTCCAGAGATTTCTTTTTACTATCGTTTATTCGGTAGTGTTTGCCTATGAAAAACATTTAGGCTTGTCACGCTACCAAAGAGTGAGTCCCAAGGTGACGAAGGCAAAAATGTTCTAGGACGTTTGAAAGAATACAGCCAGAAGGGTATTGAGATGTGAGCAGAACAAGGTGCCTCAGGTAGACTTCGAACTCGCGAGTACGCTTTCCCGGGGTTCACGTGTTATCCATCGTACCAATCGGGATCCTTGCTTTGACTTTCTATCAGCCAATTTTTTTACTCTAACCGTGCTATCAGCAATGATCCGTCAATAGGAATAATCTAGCGAGCACGAATCGGCGCTGAACCTAGTTAAGCTGACGCGTTAAGAGGCAACAAATAAAACTTAACATTGCGATTGAAAGAACTGCGTGGAAGGAACGTTTGTTTACACAGATGATCAAAATTCACTGTTCATGCTCCTTTGTTTAGATGCAATGGATAAAAGGGATAAAGGATAAAGCTCCCAGCATTGACTAGTCTCTGAGGGACGCGCCATGCATTAGACTTCATCAAACATCGTTGGAAGTGATTGAATGCATATTTGGTTTTCGCGTCACCTTGCGGTGGCCCAGCGATGTATCGAGCCAGTGATGCTATCCTTTCGGACAAGTTTGATACTTATTTCCCGACTCCAAGAGGATGGCGGGCTTGCTGGACCTAGAGAGAGGAAATCGATCTCGTATGTATTGCAGGGCGCCTCCGATCAAAGCGCTACATATGCTAATGGAATATACAGTCAGGAAGACGAAACATGACAGAAGTGACGTAGGGGTGAGTGTAGGTAGAGCCACAAATGCGAACGTATTCAATCCGGCAAGCAACTGACGGATTCCGACTGATATCACCGAAAGGCTGTTGGTGTTGTCACAAACAAAAAAAGGTGAACTATCAGGTATTCCCATTTAGTTATTGTAACTTTTGAATGGCTTATATGGAAAACGCAGATTTGATTCCAATGATCAATCCTATGATAACTTCACAGAACTCTATGAGCACCATGAGCTTTCTTCCTATGAATCTGCTTTTAGCGACGAAGGTTAATATACAAAAATGCTCACTGTTCACGTTTAGTTCTGATATCCAATGGAGTGCGTTGCTGAAAAGGTATTGATCACTAACTGACGAAGAAAACATTTTAAAAAACGCTGGCAGTAATAAAAAGCTATTTCAAAGGAAAAAGAGGTGGTGCTGTTTAACCGTGAGTGAAAAAAGGTTTCAGCTTTCTCTTTTTGTTGAGATGAGAAGCTCAAGAATTCATCAGAAACTTATGGTTTCACCTCTCGCAGAATAGTCTTCTACAGCAATTGAACGGTCTTGATAGGAATGGCAGACCGTAGTTTCCCAAGTTTTCTCGAGGAAATGATAGAAAAACCAATGAGAATCGTGGAAAAAGCATTCATACTTTTTATATTTACAAAATGCCCCAGCGCTCTGTTTGAATGTCCGCAAACGAAAGAAAAAAGATAGAATTCACCTTTACACTACGTGTTCTCGTTTGAGTTGAGTCATCCTCCTGAATTATTGCTGTATAAGAATATATTAAATGAGGGCGAACTTAAAATCGTTCACTCGAATGCTTGATCAGTCTAGTAGACAACAGTTGACCGACATCTACCCAGTACTCAGAGCTGGGATCGATGACAGCATATCACTGAAGCCTTGGGTGTTTAATGACCACAGAAGTTTTCTCGACTCATTCGTGACACAGTGGGCATCATGGTGTCCTCTACACTTCACGATTTAAAAAAACCTTTTTTGAAAAATGTCATTGATTAGTGACTTAACTAACAAGCTTTTGCTTTGTCTAATCTAGTTGCTCTTGTGAATCATAACTGTTGTTTGGAATGTGCTTGTACACAAAATATCCAAAGAGCCTTAACTGATATTGCAAAATACTTCCAAGTGCCGACAGCTATGTGCTTGCTTCATGGGAAAATGGTAGCACAAACTAAATTCTTTCGCATGAAAAAAACTTTTTTTCTGCATGAATCCTCATTCACACCTACTGTGGTGATCCCAGCGTTTTTCGCATTCGATTCGTTCCCTCGCATTCATCATCCACGAAGATCTTCCAACTTTTTACGTGTGGCTTCGGCTACTGCTTGAGAATTGCCTTTCATCATGATGTTGTTCGATGCCGGTAGAGTCGATTCTTCCTGGAGTTCTGGGATAGCTGGGTTAGAGCGTTCCTACTAGGATTTGTGAAGGTGAACTTTTCGCAGAATATCCGGCACCAATTTTCCGACGCCGGAGGGATAACAGGCTTGTTGAGTCTGGAACGGGACCGACTTAGTACCATGGTCGTGGTGATTCGCACCACCACCATAGCCCTACCTGCCCCATAACGCACATCACATTGTAGCATGCATAACAATCATACCTATAGAACGATACAGCAAAGTCTATTCTACGTTCCTTTACGTTTACAACCCATCAAGCACTAAAGATATTGAAAAAATATCTTTTATTGACAAGAAACCAGAAAGTCAACAGCTGCAGAGAAATTGGCGGTGCTCCATTGGGCCCACCACAAAAAAGGGGTGTCTTCGAGAACTGGTAAAGCTGAAGTGTTTTCAGATTTAGAAGTCGTTAACATTTCTTTTATTTTATCTGATCCGTTTTCACGTCTACTGTGAGGATTCCAGCACGCACTTCTCCCACTCATTTCGTTTTCCCGCATCCATTGTACATGAAGATCTTCCAACTTTACGTGTGGCTTCGGTTGCCGCTTGAAGATTTTCATTTCATCTTGAATGTCGTAGAATGCTGGTTGAGCATCTCTCCCTGGTGTCCTGAGATAATTGGGTTGGAGAGTTCCCAATTGGACTGCAGTGGATGATTTTTCCCAGATAAGTCCGCTACCAATTTCCCGACTCCAAAGAATGAGAGGCTTGGTTGTCCCGGGGCGGAATCGAACTAGCACCATGCTCGTGATGACGAACATCACTGCCACTGTGCTATCAGCCCCTTATACACAGTTGTTATTGGAGAAACTGTTAAATATGTATAAATAGGAAACTGTACTGCGCAAAAACGTTTCAGATTCTGCACAATTCAGTGCCTTAAAACATTAAAATTGTAGTAAAACGAGTAAAGATTTGTTCGCATTTTTTCAAAAAATTTAAATAATATGATCGGAGTTGATAGTAGGAAAATGCATTTGGGACCTTCGAGGTCTGCGTCAGTTGCTCTCTGTAGCGTAAGAATATCGGAGGAGTCGATTGTTCCTTCATCTCTGCCATGTCCTCCTAAACAGCAAAGCGTAATGCCGATACTATGGCATACTGCACTGTAGTTTCCGAAAGGAATTCAACAGTAGTGCGTTTATTCTTGTTAACGAGACGAAATTTCTGTTGTTAATATTGATTGAATGTTACCAGTTCTAGAATGTCAACTACCGTTGTGCTTGTCCAAACTTCCATTGGAAATCTATAAATCATGATTTTTAAATTTATTTTGTTTTATTCACGTCTACTGTGCGGATCCCAGCACTTCTCCCACTCATTTCGTTTTCCCGCATCCATTGTACATGAAGATCTTCCAACTTTACGTGTGGCTTCAGTTGCTACTTGAAGATTTTCATTTCATCTTGAATGTCCTAGAATGCTGATCGAGCAATTCTTCCTGGAGTCCTGGAATAACCAGGCTGGAGCATTCGCCATAGGATTATGGAGAGTGATTTTTTTACCAGACAAGTCCGGTACCAATTTCCAGACCTCGGAGGATGAGAGGCTTGATTGCCCCAGAGCGGAATCGAACTAACACCATGCTCGTGATGATGGGCATTACTACCACTGTGCTATCCGAACTCTTTTCTCATTGATAATTTAATTTATGAACATATCATTCTCTCTTATTCTTCCACTCTAAAGGGATAAAACACGATAAACCTTTGTTATACATAATGAACGTTCAGATTAAGCACAACTATTAAAGCAAATAGATGAACGAGTGTAGCTCACTTTCTTCGACATACGTGTACTGAGAAATCGGGGTGTTTGTAGATAATCCTCAGATCTCTGTTTGAAAGTGATCGCAAACATCTGAAAAGTTAACACTCAGACAGGCTAGTAAAATAAATGATTGCGATTTCTTCATCTTTTTGAACAGTTACTAACAAAAAGCGTGTTTAGATAGACTGTTAACAAAATCAGGTAACCGCATGCACAAAAGCGAAGTGTTACGGCGACGTCGATGACTGGTGGTAGTTCATCCTGAAACACTTCTGGACAAAACGAATTCACGCGTAAAATAAGAAAAGATCAATACGGTCTGAAGATCAGCTGGTACCATAAGCACTACCCGATACGGTAGAAGCGTACTTTACTATGATTTTAGAGTGCAGGGAGAAACTTGTCAATGTGCAAATGTAGTACGGCATGTACCTTACTACTAGCACTTCTTTCTTCATTTTAGTTTTCCTAACTACGTACTTTGAGCAATGCTATCTCAATTAAGAAAAATCTACTAGTTTAATAAGAAAGAGACTTTGGATCGCTCTTTAAAACGCTCCAAATTGAGAAGTCGCTCCATTAAGTTAACATGTATACTGCAATAGGTGACCTTCATTGTATACGGCGAAGGCAGGTTTCTAGCGATGAGCGAATTACATCATCAAGTTAAGTGAGTTTAATATTTGTCGCGTTTTTCCAGAAAATTTCAAAAACTGCAGGTTCCCAGGTTGAAATGGTGATATTATGATTCATAACAGCGGCTATTACTTACTTGATACTTGATACTTTAACGGCCCATCCTCACTGGCTGTGCAGTCCCACCATCACCTCCATTTTTCGGAGATTTGCTGGCTATGCCATTGTGATTCCCAAGAAGAGCGCTTATAAGAAATATGTTTCGAACCGCCGCCAGCGTGTGCACAGGTAGAGAGCAGAGGGAAGAATCCTCGAAACTGGCGCGGCAAATAGCCATTTCAAATGGTTACGAAACTGTAGCTTCTCAGGAGAGGCATCGAGGAAATCCCACGCCCCAGAGCGATAATTCTAGCGAAAACAAGGCTCCGTTCCTGTTGCCCTTTATTTCAAACGAAATAAGTGCAGCTATAAAACGCTGCTTAACAAGGGCCGGTCTAGAGAATTCCGTAAGAGTGATAGAAATACCACCGGACACTCTAAGACACCAGCTAGTTCGCAACCGCCTGTACGACCGTCTATGTACAACAAAAAACCGCATAATTTGCCCAAATGGTAGAGACGGTGATTGCATGAGTTCGGGTACAGTCTATCTGATCTCTTGTAAAGCGTGCGGGCACGAATATGTTGGCGAAACGGGTAGACCGCTCTGCGTCCGCATAAAAGAACACCTAGTCGGTAAATCTAAACTAAAACAAAATACTCCACTAGGCGCGCATAGGATGCAAGAACACAACGGAGAAGATTTTGAGGTAGGAGTCACTATCCTTACGCAGGAATCGAAAACATCAGCGCGAAAAACTCTTGAAGCGTTTTGGATCAATGCCAAAAATTCAAAAATGAACCGCAAGGAGGAGTGTCTTGTCATCACGCGTGACCTGGCGCCATACCTCAGGCTGATCCAATGACCTGACATGGACACAGTTATCGACCATGTATTACTCTGTGCGGCGGCTATCCACCAACTAACTTAAATACTTACAACAAATAAACGGTAGGTGTTTGAATGAAGCTGTTTCTTATGCGAATGCAAATCGAATTGTCAAGTTTTATCTGCTAGGGTTGTGAAAGTGTTTGGCTGAGTAGATCACATCTCAATTTGACCTTTCCAGGCTCTGAAGAAGGCGAAACCGCCGAAACGTCAGCAATTGTGTTCTAATAAATTCTATATTAACAACCTCGTGTCTGCTTATTGATGAAAAACATTGAATTATGCCATTGTGATTTCCTGGAATCCCGTTGTCAGTCTGGCCAAAGGCTGCCACGCCTAGGCTTCCTGATCGAAAAGCTAGACTCCTTCTCAGCTTGGAAGACCCTGCCAGAGGATGAATCTCCCGCTGTACACTGCATCCCGACACCCAGGAATACCTCACAGCCACGATGAGGCGGAGAGCCGTTGAAAGGAAAAGCGGCTATTGTGAACAGAAACGGTATTTTATTTAATTATACGATTACTCTAATTCTTTTATATCGAAAATCTTTAAGTAGTAGTGAAAGAGGAAACGTGGTCATTAGAATATGCAGAGAATGATAGCCTTCAGAAAAGGAATACATGTGGAATAATGTGTGGGTAGTGGAAATCTTACGTAAGTGTCGCTCATGACGGTGACATGCGAGCGGCCGTTGCTCTGAAAACACAAGGTGTTTAAGTAATTTAAGTCACTAGGATTGAGATATACCATTTGTTAACCGACCTTTATTTACCTTTGGTATAAATGATAAATGTACTTTGTTTCATTGATAAACTAATACGAGGTTGTTTCCAATAGTCTGCGGCTAACATTTTTACGTCTCCGTCTTCATCAGGTCCCATGGTCCGAGTCGATGTCCACAATCGTTGGTCTTATCGATGTGCTGTCTTCATTGTGGCATCGAGTTGGATTTTCTTTACTGCGGCATCTTTCGAATGAGGCATACTGAGAAAGTCTGAGGAAGGCAAAGACGTCAAAACGTTAGCCGAATAACATTGGTAACATCAGTGAAATACGGTACATTGAGAGATACCAGTTTTCATATTTATTCTTTTATTTTATATATATTGTACTTCTATGCATATAGAATTTCTAAGCGTGCAACATACCTGCGGAAGCGAGGTTATTACGTAGCTCTCACTTTCAACAGTAAAACTGAATGCCAAGAAAAATGGACCGCTGCTGTAAAGCTTAAAATTTCATTAAAAATGTGACATTAACAATCAAAGAATTGTGATACAATTTCCAAGACCGACTTTCTGTTAACCTCGGCATTAATTGATAATTCAATGTTACAAGTCAGAAATATTCTGCTGGCACTTCACGTAGCAATTCTTTTCTTCAATAAGCAGACACGAGATTGTTAATATAGAATTTATTAGGATACAATAGCTGACGTTTCGGCGGTTTCGCCTTCTTCAGAGCCGTTTCTTTGTTGTAAGTATTCAAGTCAGTTATCGGTTATCGCCCATGATAATGGTTATCGCTCATGTATTACTCTGTGCGGCGGCTATCCATCAACTAACTTAAATACTTACAACAAATAAACGGCTCTGAAGGCGAAACCGCCGAAGCGTCAGCTATTGTATTCTAATAAATTCTATATTAACAACCTCGTGTCTGCTTATTGAAGAAAAACATTAAATTGTGATACAGTCACATCGGACCTCAGGCGTCTGCGGTGGGGAACGAACGCGCTATTACCCTTTCCAAGGACTAACGCGTTCACCACCACACCATGCGGGAACTTCGCTTCGCCTGTCTCCCAGCTAGTTCTATCTATCTTTTGCCATCTGCAATCACTCGTCAGCGAGATTGATCTAGGGAATCCAAATCGGCCACGAACCCAGTTAAGTTGAGACTGTAGTCGAAATCAAATAACTATTGGACGAAATTCAAAAACCCTTCAGTTTTTAGCGATAGAAATCACATTGTCGCCGTAACGTAAAGCAAAGAACTTCATACCAAAAATATGAAAATGGCTTTAGTGTAATGCTACCAAGGCTCGTATCCTATTGCAAAAAGCATCACCTGTCATCAAAAACTTCCAATAGCACTCTCTCACTATATCACTAAATCTTCGAAATGATCATAAAATACTAACCGAGCTCTGATGAGAATAAGGCGAAGATGATGCTCGCTCTTCTTCACTGGAAGAGACAATTGCTGAAGAGACAAAAATGAACACTAGCTGATACTCAATCGTTATCATTCTTATCACCTAAGTCACCTCTAAGATTGTTGTTAATCATCAAGTGATCAGAGTCAGCCTCAGTAGACCGTTCATTCTCCCATGTTGTCGTGAAGATGACGGTTTGATGGGATGATTTTCATAGATAGTAGTTCAAACACGCCAACGAAAAACCCTATCATAAGAAAAATACGGAGGAGCATAATTATGAGAAATAAATCGCCAAGAATATGAAATGGTGGCAAGTGTTGCAGTAATTGAACTGTTTAAAACAGATGAATTAGTTATACACCAAACTATACAAGTTTATTTAGGAGTGCAGCCAGATTAATTGATTTAATATTTAAAGTTCCAATTTAGTCAGAATAATTCTAGTGTTCGTCGTGCTTGACAAGGCTGTAGAACAGCTTGCTAGCCTTTCCCAGCCATCCACCATGTCGCTTGTGGAGAATTCGCAACTGCTTCCTCACCATCTCAACGACGGTCCTAGCTTTCTTCTCGCCAATATCCTTAAACTTGCTTAGTCATTTAGTAGTCATAAATAGGCGCGCGTGGCGCAGTGGTCGGAGGCGCTCTGCAACGCATACATGAGATCCATCCCCGTGGCTCACCAAACTTTCCATCCCTCCGCGGTCGGCAAATTGGTAGCAGACCCGTCTGGGAGGATAGAAACACTGGCTCGATGTATCGGTAAGACACCGCGAGTCATTGTAAAAGTAAAATATGCATTCAGTCACCTCCAACGATGCTTAAAGAAGTCGAATGCATGGCGCATCCCTCGGGGATTAATCAACGTCGAGATCTTTAGCTTTTGAGTCATAAACTGAACCTTTATTTGTTTCTACGTTATTGCCAGTGATCTACACAGATGAGAAGGTATTTTTGTATCTGCACAAAAATCAGCGAAATTTTGTCGAAGTTAAGCAGCTGCAATTTTCAGTAGAAGAAAATGTCGCTATATTTCAACAAATTGGAAACATTACGGCTTACTGTATCGAATTGTATTCTACCATTTAAACGATAAAAGATGAAGTATCCGACTTTGGTTAATACCTCAGTAAAGCGCCGTGCATTCGACTCCATTCCTAGCATCGTAAAGGTAATCACTTTCATATTCAGATTTGACAATAATTTGCCAAGCTCGCTGATGCAAGAGGTTATCGTTTTTCCTTAACATTCTGGACAAACCCGTTACTCGTTTGCCGAACCTAAGCATAGAAACTTGGTGTTTCTGGTGAGAGGGATCAAGCCAAAGAGTACATGTGTATTTCACGACACCACTAACCGCTGTGCTATACCCGCTCCACTTTTTATTACGCCCCTGTATTGCGCACTACGTGTGTTTGTTTGTGTGTATATCACTGCATGGAAAGCTGATGTTGTCCTACCTTGGCCAACTCATCCTTCACAGCGTGTATGAGGTTTTCAGACGATGTAGCTGCTTCAAATTTTTCTTCTACAACATTCTTAACCTGAAAACAATGTCTGAAGCTTTCCATAAAAGCCGACTGTAATATTTGGTTTCTGTGATATGGTGAATGCTTGGCAAAAGAAGACTTTATGCGAAGATTTGAACTCACCTTATTAATTTGGTCATGGGTTAAGAAATAGGCTAGATTTCTGTCTACGCGCTCTCTTACATACTCGAGTCTTCTGAAATTGCTAATTTCTGGATTACACAGGAAGCTCAAACTGACACTCGATAAGGCGAAAATAGCAACGCAATTTTACTTTTTGTGCACATAGTTGTCAATGAATGCGTTCTTAACGATGTCGCTCTTGTTCAGCAAATATACATCGTAGAGTTTTTGCAGTTCTTGTTGATCTTCGCCGTAGTAGACGATGTTCTTCGCCAACTAAAGAATAAATTTTCCTTTTCAACTCTTTATGATAACATCACAAATGTGCTCATAGTGGTAGTTAGCAATTCAGGTTCAACAGGAACTTCAGAACAAGGAAACAACGATATCATCGGGAAGCAGCACGGAAGCAGCCGATTCAGTTGTACTAAACAAATCCTCTGGTTCGAATAGATTGTTAGAAGATTATCGAATGAACATTTAACATTTGAACATTTTTTAAAGCAAAAAAGAAGTTTTTCCTTCCTAAATCTAACAATTCCGCGTTTGAGTGAACGTAATCATCAACTCTAAACTTTGTTCGAAATGTTATTTAACAGAATCTCTTCAAACAGCAGCTCAGTTACTTAATTGAACACCAAGATAGCCTTCCAAACGTGCGTTGTGTTGCCTAGTATTCCCTTAATTCCCTTCTTTATCCTGCGACCATCATCTATAAAGGTGATCGGCTTTGTATGTGAGCTCACGGCTGTTCGAATGTCTTACAACTTCCCTTCTCCTTCGTTTTTTGAACGTTCTTTGAGATCCTGATTCGCTGAAATTCCGAGACAGATGTGCTAGAGTTTGCCTACGTCTCACTACAAGGAGATATGATTCGGGAGCACGTTCGCTGCCCTACAACTGAGATTTTCCAACACAGCAGCAGGAACTCCTGCGATTAGTGGACAAGATCATCGAAAACGATCTTTCAAACCAAAATTCGATTAGCAGTTTGCTTAGAGATAAAGAATAACTTTAGTTGGAAGTCTTCGCCTCTGATTATCATTTCGGATGCTTCTAATTTTCTTACCGTTCGAATAAATTTGATTGAAAACTAATTCAGTGAATGACGCTAAGGTTTAGGATAAATATTTATTGGGCGTAAACTATCATAGAAATACCGGCCTGATGCAGTTCACCTTCGTCTGCATCGGTGTCCTTCATGGCTTCGATCAATTCCATAGATATTTCCAAATAAAGGAATGTTATATCTTCCGCTTCTGAACGAGTCCACGGAAGCAAAAACAACAGAAATGTTGATATTATTGGCATCTAAAACAAAGGGATATCATTTTTGAAGCTAGAAGAAGTTCGTTCGAAAGAAAAGAAAGGAAATAGAGATGAAAAAGACAAAAAGAGAAATAATCTAACACGTTTGTGTAGTGGTCTCGCTATCATATTCCTGATTATTAATGATTTCCCTTCTTGTGATATTCTAGTACTTCTATTTTATGAAATTTTTGTCAGATCACTTACTTATAAAGGATAGATTTATAGTTGCTTATTATCTCCTACATCTTATTACCTCCTACTATCAATCATCATTACTTTTTCTATTTATATTAAACGACCCGTGTTCACGTCTACTGTGCGGATCCTAGCATTTCTCACATTCGATTCATTTCCTCGCATCCATTATCCACGAATATCTTCCAACTTCTTTGCATGTGGCTTCGGCCGCTGCTTGAGGATTTTCGTTTCATCTCGAATGTCGTAGAATGTTGGTCGAACAATCCTCACTGGAGTCTTGAGATTGATGGGCTAGAGCGTTCGCAATTGGATTGCAGAAAGTGACTTTTTCCCAGACAAGTCCGATAGCAATTATCGCTATTATTACCATTATATTAATTGGTAATATTATCCTGAGAACCTCCGTCATTTAGAGGGTGAAAACCGTTTAGGCGCGAAAAGGCCTGACCGCCTACACATCAGAGAAAAGATGGATAGAAGAGCGTATACCGTTCTTAACACTCAGCACCTATAACCATCATAATAGTTTTGTGGAAGTGAATTATATCATTATATCAGTACCTTTAAAATATCATTTTCTTCCGGTGGTTTATTTTAATAAGTAGAACTATATCCCTCCAAACGGTTTCTACCGCCTCATCGTTGCTGGCTGTTCCTGGTTGTCGAGTAAGCGAGGACTCACTTTCCCAGCAGGGTCTTCCAGACTGAAAAGGAGTCGGACGAAAACATTCGGAAGCCCAGCTAAGAGAAAACCAGTACTACGACTCATCGCCGTCTTGGTACTAAACTAGTCGCATGATGGCCAATTTACCTCTAACCCATAAGGGCGGTGATTGCCTGGGGCCGTAATAACCTGAGAAATGATTTCGCTAAGCTGATCTCGGAACTCCACGAAACCACAACGACTGAACCAGTAAAATTTCAGCCTTCGTATCCCGCACACTGAGCGGTGGCGTCTACGACGTCGAGAGGTCGGACAACAGGTGAGAGAGCTATCAAATATCGGGTTGCACAGGACGTCACTGGAAACGGACAAAACGACCATGCCCATGAAATGCCATGGAGATTGCTTCTTGTTGTGCACCTATAAAGCCGGAAGAGTCGCCTCAGACGCCGACCCCACCCACTTCTTGAGTTCGCCGATCTCATTAAATTGCATCTGATTACCTAACAAGAGGCAAAAAGCAAGAAGACTGACATACGCCCATTATATGATGGAACCCTTGTCATTTATGGAGGAAAATTCCCGTAACGAAATGTGGTCTACTTCCCATCTGCTCACCTCATACGAAACCATATTATTGCGTTTGGTCATTTCTTCGTCTCCCACTTGCGCGTTGAAAGAAAGTCAGCATAATCAGCTTTACTCACCAGTTCAGCTGATGAGAGCGAACTAAATGCGTTCTACAACCATTTGGGGGTACTAATCTACAACGAGAATCCTTTCTATAAATTCGTTGCTGGAGACTTCAACGCGAAAATAGAAACGGCCAACAAAAATGTATAAAGGTTAGAAAAAATCGAAATAAAAGAACGAAATGAGAACGGAAACCGTCCTGTAGAACTCGTAAAATGTTACTTCCACGGGAATTTTCGAGAACAGAGGAAATCACCGAAGGAATGATTGAAAGATCACAGTGTGATTGCACGAGCTATCGAAAGGTTGATGCTAGGAAAATCCTACTCTACGTTTGAGAGGAAATTTGGGATTTGCACCTACATCAGCGACCAAATACCATAGATACCGTTCCATACGTAATGATGACGAAACCCTGGTGGACCGGTTGTGAGCAGTCTCTAACAAACCGATGGATAAGAGACACCAGGCGTCCACAGGACATGATCAGCAAAACAGGAAGACCATCGACCCCACATTCAGGCTTTTTTACGAAAATCTAAGAGGAATTCGGGACGAAAAATGGAATGTTATCCGTGATTTTCAAATGCGTGGGACCCAATGGACAATTCAAAGGCGTCACGTAGGCGTGTGCAAACTTCAACCTTGTTTGATGAACTCACTCGATGAACAGAAGGAGTAGTGGCAGAGATGACTACTCCGGGAATCTCCTACTTGTAAGGGATCTTCCGTAGTTAGTTACGAGGTAACCTGGCACGTACTTAGTTGCCAGTGGTTAAACAACCATCAAAAGAGTAAATAGCACATATTTATGGACGCATTATGAAAGTTAGCATAAGAAGTCCATGTTTTTATACTAGATTTCATTAAATTGAGAATCGTGGGTTAATTCCTGAAGAACTTAATATATTCATATGTATGTATTTGTGTGAACACGTATATATGGGTTGTACTATTTATGAAAACGCCAACTTTTTACTTACTCTTTTACAATTTTCCGCGGCAGGAAATTATGTGTAGTACAACCACAATAATGCCGAGATATTTGAAAAACTCCGGCCCTGCAGGTGTCTGCGGTGGGGAACGAACGCACTATTGTCCTTTCCGGGGTTTTACGCGCTCACCGCCACACCATGCGGGTCCTTCGTTTCGTCTGTTTCTCAGCTATTTCTTTCGATTACTGCTATCAGCAATCACCCGTCAACGGTACTGATCTGGAGGCCGGAATTGGCAATGAATCCAGTTAAGCTGAGGCTGCAGTCGAAGTCACAATGTTAACTTTTTATTTAGTGCCTATTACAATTTTTCACAGAAGGGTATTATGTGCGATACAACGACAATGATGCTAAGATATTTGCAGAACTCCGGACCTAGGTGTCTATTGGTCAAAAGTTGGTGACAAAAGTCCAAACCATGGAGTGGTGGTAAACGCGTTAGCCTCCGGAAAAGGTAATACCGCGTTCGTTCCCCACCGCAGGCACCCGTGCTCCGAAATTTTGCAAATATCTCAGCATCATTATGGTTGTATTTATGAGAGCAAATTCGTCAAAATGTCTGCAATAAAATAACTGGGAAGAGCGTAATTGATAAGAGCAACGCTTCTCTACAAACCAGCGCTGTACCGAGTAGAACAGAACTTGACATTACCTGTGGAAACTATATCTGTAGAAATAAAATTAAACTGCCTTCTACGTAGAACGCTCTTAGGGAATGAGCACCTACGTGCACTGTGTGACTGGAACAACAAATTTTATAGGGTTACTGATAGAGTTCGATAGTCAGCAGGATTCCGACTGACACGGGTGGAAAAGTTGAGATGTTGCTCTAGAACGCAGTTTGACTACGAGCTTATAACAGCTGTTGAGAGAGAAGTCAGTGCTCTATCCTTTATAGGAACGTATACTAGCAGGGATTAGAGTTCCAGGAACATTCATCGTCGTAGGGATTATGAGCATGGTCGAAATGAGGTGACAGTGAAGCAGGAGGTTGACGAACCATATCAATGCGATGCTTTATGCAAAGTGTCCAGTGTCCAGCCGATTAGCTCAGAATGGATAGTGATAACTACAACGAGCCGTGCATCATATTATCGCTACAGCTGAGCAATCACAATCGACAATTCGACTGCACGACTACACGTAGTGCGGTCGGTGGTTGAGATTTAGAAATACTCTGTTGACTTTAGTTGTGTACTTTTGCTAAGATGTTTAATTTACTTTGAGAATGAATAACGTTCAGAAATATACGTAAACCATCAAACAATCCAACAGTAATGTCTTTATCGATAACAAGCGCAATAACAAAATAATAAGAACGAAAGCGAAAAAGAAATTTTATAGAAGCAGGTTAAACAGAGAATTTTTGCATAAAAAATTGCAGAACAAAATTGAATTAAGTGCCTCGAAAACCCAAACGATCTACTCAGAGAGGAGGGTGAATAGTTGAGAGGTCACGACAGTCTCTAGAGTTAGTGAACGTAAATTTGTTTAAATCGATTTTCCCAAAAGGAATACGAAGGATACAAGGGAATCACTGTGAATATCAATTTCTGAATAATTTCGTGAAAAAGTCAGCCGACTTTTCATCGAATATTGAAACAGGTGCACAGAGAGACATCGCCACTCTGATGTTCCACAAGCTCACATCAGTCGGAGTAGCATCCGAACTAGTACCAGGTTTTTTCATTGTATTATGTTACAGTCTACATTATTTACAGTAGAACTTGACGAAACTAAACTACGAGATGATATAGGTTCCGAAAAAAAAGTTTTTAGTAAAAAAAAAAAAGGGGGAAAACTCGCTGACAAAACGCAAACGAATAAATATAGATAGTATTTATAGACAATTCTGGTCATACATTTTTGTCGGTTTGAACTAGAATCATGGCTACCAGTCGCTATCCATATTTTCTCTAATCACATAATTCCAAGACTAAAGAATATGAGAAATAAATCCGAAATGTAATGTAATGGATTAGTGACTCTGCTTCTTATATATCACTACCTGAGATTACATCACAGCGTCATTCTTACTCCAAAATATTGTTCGCAATCATATAATGGAATGTTGCGTACCAAGAAATTAAACAATGCACCTGTAGTTCGACTATCAAAGTGTTTTATATGGATTGAGAATTCCGTTCGGATCAAACACTGCTTTGATTCTTCGCACAAGATCCCTTTCCACTGATGATTTTCCCAAGGAAGAATACGGTAATTTCAACTGCCCGATGCCGTGTTCGGCCGATATCGAACCACCATGAGCAGCCACCCATTCATAGATGAATGTATCAAGACTACAAAGGATTTGAATAAGGTTGAAATAGTAGTACACATAAAGTAGTAAAAACTGTTACATGTAAGATTTTTACAACTATTAATAGTAACAGCTTACGAACATAATTACTATGAACGACTTAAGGCGTAAAAATGTGACGATGCTGATCAATCCCTAAGGGATGCGTCATGCATTCGACTTCACCAAGTATCGTTAGAGGCGACTGAATGCACAAATGGCCTAGACAATTACTCGCGGTGGCCCACCTATAGTTACGCCAGTGCTGCCAACGTCCCAGATACGTCTGGTACCAATTTGACCACCCCAAAGAAAAGGAAGGCTGGGTGAGTCTAGGGTCCAGGGTCGAGTCTGTAGCCTTTACAAGGAACCTCCAATCACTGCGCTTTGTGCGTCGCCTTAAAGTGTAATGGAAAATGCCTTTTACAGCTTACATTACTGCTAATGGATCTCTTTACTGTGATCTCAAGGCGACTAGTCGCCACACATATCTGAACAATCTACAGGCCGTGGATAGGGAGCTACACCAAACTAAAAATGACCATATTTTGCGCGATGCAAGAAAAGGCTTAGTGCAACGAGTAGTTATTTTTACATCTGAACAAAAATAAAACACCCGCAAGCATCACAGAGGTTACTGAATGCATATCCGATCTATACAATGAGTTACAGTGGGCCACCAATGTATGAAGTCAGCAATTTTGTCCTCTCAAGACGTACCAATCTGCTAACCCCATTCTGCTGGCGATAATGAGCTTAGTGAGATGGAAACACACGACAGAATCAACGACCGAACCTTTGTATATTGTGTATTTCTAACTGGTGCGCTACACTTTGCATGAATGCGGATTTTACCCTTCGAGTCGATTCCGCAGGATAACTATACAGACGACGAACAGAACACTGAAGTTAGTTTAGTGTCGTCGCCAACAAATCGGCACTGCGTCTATACCAGGATACTTTAGGGTGTTACTCATGAGCCTGTCGAATTACTGTGTAGACGAAATGAGGTGACATTCCAGGGTGTGGATCGAGTCCCATAATGATCAGCGTAAATGCAAGAGATGTCGTTAACATTTGTAGAACGGTTTCTGCTATTGGAATGAGCAAAAATGTCCCATCGCTATTTACATAAATACGAGGGAAAGCTAAATTTGTTTTATAATCTGAAAAAAACCGACTGAAATTTTCGGTAGGAAAAGTACCTCTCATGGAACTTTTGGTTGTAGTCGTTTACTGTCACATTAAGGTGAGTGTTACCATCACCAAGATGACCGTAGGTCGCTACAACCTTTGCACTTTGTGCGTACCGCTCTCGGACTACCTGTAATTTGTCTTCCATTTCCAACAATAGGTTAATTTACTGGTCCGTACACAACTAACTAATGTTAAGCACCAAAGCGGCTAATTTATTTAATCAACTGCCGCTATTACTATATTTATTATTATTCTAACTAATACATTAACAACGAAGTTAGGATTTCGACAACTGAAGACAAGTTCTCAACAAATTAGAGTATTTGAGGAACCGTGAACTTTATAGACTTAGGGAACAGACATCGCCGCACTCCTGCGATATATATACTTTGATACTTGGATGGCCCGCCCTCGCTGGCGGGCCCCCAGCATAATTTCCATTTTTTCGGAGTTTTGCTATTGTGGTTTCCTGGAGACCCTAGGTGGGCATAGCCAATGTTTGCTCCTGGTCGTCAACACCACAGGCACTCCCCGCTCCCGCCCTTGTGGATCAAATAGAAATTTACCATCATGCGACTAGTTTGATACCAGGACGGTGGTGGATCCTGAAATTAGTTTAATTTAACTGGACTTCCTGATGGGAACGTCGGATTCCTTCTCAGCATGGGAGACCCTGCTAAGGGGATAAACCATCCGCTGTACATCGCAGTCTGACTCCCACGAACAAGCCTAGTCACGACGAGGAGATAAGCCTCATATGATGAGAGTAGTGGGAGGTGTGGTATACATAACTCCTCTATACAGAATATAATTGCACTAAAGTGCCATGTCAACTTTAAACTTCTAAATTTGAAATCTAAAAAGAAAACTGAGAAATTTGAGTCTTCAAAATTACCAAAGCAAGCGCAGTATTCGTAAACATAAGCGAAGCCATTACAGTTTTCTAACTTTAATAATAAGATTGCAAGGTTCTACATTCAACCATGTATTGTATACATGTATAGTCAACAAAATGTATTTTCTCGATTTCTTTCGTTGAGGGTCGTACTTTAAAATAAAACAAGCATCAGCGGGATTAAGTCAGCAGGACAAGACAGCGTTTCCATTCCAGCGCTGGTGTTTGGGGATGTTGCACTTGCATCAAATTTTCAAAAATTTTGACCTCTTCTTTAATTTTTCCATTCAATTGAGGCAAAGCATGTCGAGCAATTCTCGATTTCTTCCTACGAAAACTAACAACAATAAAGATCCTCAGCTAAAGGAGCCGTTTGCGAAACCTCGCCGTAAGACAGGTAAGGGGTTCATGTAAACATGGTAACGAAAATTCCTAAAATTTCACAACGAAACAACAAGCAACCATGCCTCCCATTAATTAACGAAAACATATCCTGTGGTTCAAACGAGAGGAAAGCGTCCAGGGATACTTTGAATGACTTAGGCTTCCCTACGCAGTACAGAGCGAAACATACCGGCTGCATTACATTAGCACTAGTGTAGAATAACTTATCGCGTTAGGTAATTCTACTTCGCTAAAAATAGCTTCACTTCCAAAAACGTCATATGAAGATTGAAATGAAATAAAATAGAATTGAAATCTCTCCTGACCGCCAGCTACGTCTTTAATTTCCTTATGATATACTGCTTTAACTACAAACATTTATTTTACATGGCTCTTCTTCACGTCTATGGTGCGAATCTTAGCGCTTCTCACATTCGATTCGTTCTCTCGCATCCATCATCCACGAAGATCTTCCAACCTTTACGTGTGACATCGTCTATTGCTTCAGGATTTTCATTTCAACTTGAATTCGTAGAATGCTGGTTGAGCAATTTTCCCTGGAGTTCTAAGATAGCCTGGCTAGAGCCTTCTCAATTGGATTACAGAGCGTGATTTTTCCCGTACAAGTCCGGTACCAATTTCCCGACCCTGGAGGGATGAGAAACTTGGTTGGCCCGAACGGAATCGAACTAGCATCATGCTGGTGATGACCGCCATTACTACCACTGTGTTATCCGCATCCTTTAACCACAAACATTAGCTAATTTAAAGAACATTTGTGCAAACATCAGTCTTCGATAGGACATTCACAAAAGTATGTTAAAAAGAAATATAAGAAAACATGTATGAGAAAAGGATTTGTTCCTAAGACCCACTCACCGCTAGAAATACTGTCTGGAAAAACTCCAAAAGTTATGTATACCTGCGAAATGCGCACTAATCGCAGGACTTGTTGCCAAAATAGGAATCGCTGTCGTTCTAGAAGAATCCTCGTAACAAGGTAATAAATTTCTATTCAAACCATAAAGGCCAGTAAATGCCTGTTGTGACGATCTAAGAACGCTCCAGCTCTGCTTTCCAAACAGAAACAACATACGAGCTCGATAATCTCCATGAAGGACGGCTACTAGACAACAAGAGTAATGCAATAGGTAGGAAGTGCTGCAACACTCATGAGAACAGGTCATCTAAGCATATAGCTGAACATGAGAAAGAGGGGACGGCCGGAGTACAGAAAATCATTGGAGATCTAACGAAGAATAATATAGAACGGTTGGATCCGCGCTCAAGTGTTTACGCAACGATTCTTAGTTCCGACGTCTACCTTATTATTTTGCAACAACATTAAGGATAAAGTGGAGAAAAAAATGAACGAGAGTAAAATCAACCTGATTAACTCTACAGCTTGCTCTCTCTTAAAGTCTCTCGGAAGCCTAGACCTTGGTCAGTAAGATAAAAACGCAGTCAGTATCATCGGCTCCGGTATGCATAATATGGTGCTAGAAATGTTTCTATTACGTAACTGAGTTAGGGAATACGAGGGTCTGACTTGCGCTGACGATCGGATATGTCTACAAGCACATGCCCAGTTTTTGATATTGTGTTTTAACGACACCGTTTGACAGATAGTACTTTAGTTTCGTGGATACAAAAAGTCGGAAACATTACCTCAGTTAGTCGATAGAAACTATGTAGTGGAAGCGAAACGTCATACAGGTAGGCGAAACCGTCAGCTGCCACTGCCAACGGTGCACTTTCTCGCAGGCGCCACATTGCCGACGACTCGGCAGCCGATTGAGCCTAAGATTAATTTAGTCTTGAGAAAAATAGTACAGTCTAAGCAAGAGCGTAATTAAGCTCAATGACTGCTTCTACAGCTTAGAGTTCGCCGAACCGCCAAATGTGAATCGCATCTAGTTCCAAATAGTGGCTTATTTAATGGTTTCACTCATTCAAATGGTAATTGTTCCGGTGTCAAAAATCACTAAGAATACCAAGACATGATAAAAATTAAAGGGAGCAAATACTCAGAGCGTTTTATGAACACGATGCCAAGAGAGAGAGTACTGCAGGAATAGCACCAGAACAATCACGTTCTGTTAGAATAAACCACGATCGACGATACTTTTACCAAACAATGAGCCATAAATTGGTATCATGCGAAAAGCAAATCTTGTCATGTTACTTGTATGGCCAGTCCTCATCAGTCATGCGAATTAGTACTGGAAGTTTCTCTTCCTCTGCCCTGCATCCGTTATCCATAAAGTATTCTCAGGTCCGCCTCTCTTGGATTAACTGCAGCTTGATGAACAGCCCTCCTTATCAAGGACATTGGAATAGAATACATGCCCAGGATAGTTCAAAAAATTTATTGCAGATTTACATATGGGACCAATATAGTGAACTGTACTATGGTGAAGCTTCAAGGTACAGGATTTTATTATGGCACAAGTAGCCAATTTTAATATAAATGAAAGTAATCCTAAGTGGTAAGTTTGAAGAACCGTTACTCACTCTATTAAATCATAAGACGAAACCATAACTGTGAAGAAGAAATAGCAATGAATAACGGACAGCTTTCCACTTATACGAAATCGTTTAGCACTACTGTATTCCTTCTTATTTAAATAAGTTCACAATAAAAAAAGCAAATAAATGCAAACATAAGACAGTAAGTATCCCTAATTACTCAGACATCGAAATTTATCCCATGGGTAACACTTCAAGTCCGATTTAGCGTAATACGGAGAGAGAGTTACTCATTTGTTGTGGCCCGAGAATAACCTTATGCTGTCAATATCTAATATAATATCAATATGTCAATAAGTTTCTAAAGGGAAACGGATAGACGATGATTAAGAGCAAGTACCAATGTTTTACATGACTCCTAAGAAACTACCTGTACACCATCCGACACCACTCCGCTACTCAGGCATTTATCCAGAAAGCATTCCATTTTATACGCATCATGCTCTTCATTAGATCCTTAAAATAATAAAGAACTTAACTTCGACTTCACTTGCCATCTTGACTTCCTTTTACAATAAGAAACTATTTTTAGACGTGATACGCTTAAATACCCTGTTTCCCGTATGGTACGAATCTTTGTAAAGAACGCAGAGAAAAACACCAATTTACCCGATGTGAAGGTCATCGGGAAACGATTTAATAATTAGAAATCATCAAAAATAACGATAACATCAGCTCTTAGTTACTCTGACCCATTCACGACAACAGCGATTTTTTCGTCGGTTGTAGAATATTTTGGTTTTCGTCAATAAATAACTATTTCTAAATAATTGAAGGGCCTTAGGAGTTGTGAACATGACAGAAATGTAGAAGAGACTTCGCTTCATCGTTCTATTGGCATGAATCATATGTATGGTATAAGTTCTTATCTGCTCTTACGGTCCATCAAACAAATACGTTGGAGACGGCATTTGGACATGCTTCGTAGTTCATATTGTTTATGTTTCTTTATTTTTATATCCGTACATTCCGCACAACAACCACAGTTATCAAAAAAAATCACAGCTAGTTGTGCGTCAGATTACTGGGCAGTGAACTTTTTCGAAAATCAACTATAAACCACTAAGTGTAGAACGTGACTTTCCCGTTCTCATTCCTCCTATCTACATATACTTCCAATTGGAATTGTAATAGTAACAATGACAATAATAATAATAATAATAATAATAATAATGACAATAATAATAATAATAGTAATAATAATCACAGTGATGCTGAGATATTTGCAAAGGGCTCGGGGGAGGGGGGGGGGGGCCGGGGCCCAATTCTAATAGCGAGCGCGCATTCTCAGGTATTGTTATGCCCCCAATCACGGTGACTCTAGATTTTCTTGGTGCATTATCAACCCCATTTTGACTATTATCAGAAGCGTAAGGAATTCGTTTGTGGTTGTTTCTTGAAGCTGAGACATGTGAACTACCCAAAAGATCTTCGAATTTTCGTTGTAAGGTTATTTCGGCACTAGATCTAATAAAATCTTGACCCACCAACTATCCTCCTCCAAAGGCGATCCTCCAAATACAAAGCACAAAAATGTTCCTTGGTTGCACGCTTCTTCATTCTGGCAAACATCTCGTTCTGCTTGCTTCGTAGTGCAGCTCGAAGTAGTTCCATTTCGATGCCTCGTACTTGTTGGCTGCTCTCTTGTTGACCGCATATCTCGTGAAGTCACTTTCGTTTTATAAACTTCGGCACGACTCGATGTTGAAAACAGCGGAGGAGAAAGTTGATTTGCTGTCTAGCGAAGACAATCTTCTGTCTTAGTGACAATGCTTCTTTCACAAGTCGAAAGTATTTTGCTGGTACATCTTGTAATAGTTCCCAGCATCTACTTTCTATTAACCTCGGCATTGGAATATGAATCTGTCGTTTTCTTGTTGTCAGCTAGCGTTGTATTGTACTGTGTTTTTTTATGGAAGTAAATGTATGCTGTTTAAAAACCTCGCGATTGCTGAACAAGAAAACGACACATTCATATTCCAATGCCGAGGTTAATAGAAAGTCGATCCTGGAAACTGTTAACTTTCTTTTTTTTTTGTGCTAGCTGATAACACACNCTCGGCATTGGAATATGAATCTGTCGTTTTCTTGTTGTCAGCTAGCGTTGTATTGTACTGTGTTTTTTTATGGAAGTAAATGTATGCTGTTTAAAAACCTCGCGATTGCTGAACAAGAAAACGACACATTCATATTCCAATGCCGAGGTTAATAGAAAGTCGATCCTGGAAACTGTTAACTTTCTTTTTTTTTTGTGCTAGCTGATAACACACCGACCTCTGCACGATGTGCGCAATGATGTATGTCCGGAAGAAATACAAGTTGTTACCACCGGACATTGTCATTATATATCCACCATCAGCATCGTGTATAAAAGGGCATCACTGAGTGAGGATGCCTCATTCGAGAAGATGGCTCGCTGAGGAAGATCTGGCTCGACAGGAAGGCGAAGACGCAACGTCGAGGCGAACAACAACAAGCATGGACCATCGACTCGGATCACCGGCTCTGAGGAAGACGAAGACGTCGAAACGTTAGCCGAAAATAAATATATTTATCAACCTCGTGCAAGCTTATCAAGAAAGAATACATGTTAACTTTCTATTTTCAATAAAGATGAGAGATAGGCGAAACGAAGGACTGGTGTGGTAGTGAACGCGTTAGTCCCCAGAAAGGTGATAGCGCATTCATTCTCCGCCGCAGACATCTGTGATCCAAAGTTTTGCAAATATCTCAACATCATTATGGCTGAATAATTGAACAATTATGAATGGAGCGCACGTCATATGAAGATTTAAAACCTCAATGGTAATTTGTACTGTGTTACAAAATAAAAACATAACAAGTCCCAGAATATTTAGAACATTTTTGAAAATCAAGAGCGGTGCATATGCATATGCACCGAACAAAAGACAACGGTACGCAAGGGTACACCATTATTTCTCAATGGTTCCATTGCCCTCTCCAAAATATTAAAACTGTCTGCTCTTTCAAGTTGGCCAATTCAACGGAGAAAAACTGGCTATTCTATCGAATAACAATATGTTAATCAACACTTGAAGTTTCCACACGAGGCTTACCTGATGTCTCAACCAGTATCGTGAATCTAGGGTTCGACTGTAGTATAGGTTTAAGATCGAGCACCTCCTTCAATAACACCGTAGTTTCACGATCCAAGAACTCAAACGATGAAAGTATCTCCGATAGATAGCGATGGGCTAAGCGTAAAACGTTACAGCACGACTCGAAAGTTTCAACACCTGGAATACCAAGGCATTTAACCTAAAAAATCGGTAATTAAACACATTTTGCAGCCTATCTCCTATACGACACACTAAATGAGTCAAAAAAGGTAAGCGAGGTGAACACAGTTCGCTCTTCTAGCTCCTCAAAAGCCTGAAGCACCTTAGCTTTACCGGTCTTTACAAAACAGTACGTCATGCTGGATAACCATATTCGAGCAATAATCAATACTGTAGAGTGTCGTATTCCTGGCTACCAGCTTAAATAAGTGCATCTACCTCTAAATTTCTTAAAACAGTTGCTCCAATCATCCTTCTCAATGAAACAATGAATAATGCTGTCTGCATCCAGATTCCACTTGCCACCTTTCTCAAATATACGACTTTGTTACCATTAATTGTTAATAATTATCGTTAGTGTTAACAGATTCATATACTTCTGATATGTGAGATCTGACGCAAACGTAAGCTTTTACTAGCGCGAACGAAAACGACCATGGCTCGTTATACTTCATTATTAGTATAGTACTACTCACATAACAATAAATGCTACTATTGCAGGTCACCACATTCCAAATAGAGCACCATTATGAACGACAGCTGTAAGAGGAGACAACGAAGTGAGTTTTTGTGATGCCTTCGTTTCAATCAATGTGAAGCATTTCTTAAAGCCAGTGAATATCAAGAAAAGCAGCAGAAGGCTGTTACTGACAGGATACCTTGATAAAACCTACGAATCTTTGAATATTCTCAGCTGTGCTTAATTCCTCCGCGAATCCTTAGGTTTGTCTTGTTTCCAGTTTTTTTTTTAAGTAACACTATATTAGAACGAGTCGGCAACGAAAGGACAATTCCTGCTTACCGTGACCTTTACACCATAAGGTAAACCAAAAGCTTTAATTGCACATTTAGACTGAAGAAATACCTTATTCTTATTTTTTAAACTGGATATTGTGGAATCGACGGAAAATTTGTCAGAAGAAGGTATAAACTGTATTCTCCTTTCAATTATACATCTTGTATAGGGACTTTTTCAAGTGAGCCCGCAAAATTTTTATAACTTCCGAAATTACACCTAACGTAGAAAGCTCACCTATCATAGCGCTTTGGACGGAAGCTGGTTTTTTCACCGTGCTCATTATAACACGAGTTATCAATCCGAGTTGTCCCTCACTACCAAGAAACAAATGTGGGATGTGCAGGGAGGTATTGTCCTTACGAAGTGGTGAACCGAGCTCCATAACTGTACCGTCTTCTGTCGGCAAGACCTTAAATGGAAGCTAATTAATAGCAATGAAATTTTAAGGTTACGTGCTGATTATTACTTATTTTTGATAATTCCACTTCCCTTTTCCCATAATTCCAACTAACCGGTCAACACTTACTGACTACGAACCATAAAACACCGATTCTGCAATACATTTCAATCCGAAAAAAAGTAATTTGAGACAAAAATGACTTGAGGTAGAAGATAAAAAGGATAAAGCTGTCGGTATTGATAAAGCACTGTGCGATGCACCATGAATTCGACCTTATCAAGCACCACTGGAGGTGCGTGAATACATATCTGGTCTCTACTCACAGTGGCCTAGCGACGTATCGAGCCAGTGTTAATATCCTGCCAGACAAGTCTGGCACCAATTTTCCGACCACGGAGGGATGGAGGGCTTGGTGAGTGTGGAACGCGGAGATCGATCCCATGTGTATTAGAGGGCGCCTTCGAGCACTGCGCTATGCGCGTATAGTAGAGAAACTCTCCATAATTGGATAAATATGGAGTGAGGAATAAGCAAACGAACACACCACGGTTAGTCCTAGAAGATGTGCATGAATGCTGCCGTATCGTAACAATCGCAATCCACCAGCACATGTCGCCACGTTGCCACCTACCATACACGAACCCTTAGCACCGAGATCAAACGGCATCATGTAGCTTAATGAATGACACAAATTAACGCTTTCTTCAGAAATCGACTAAAATCGTGTTTTCATTCAGCATATTTTGTCCCAAAAAACCTCAGTTAAAAGAAAAATACACAAATCTGAGAGGAAAAAGCATCACATTTTCTGGAAATGCTTGAAATAATGGATGCAAAATAGAAGTTAACCCGCGTGTGAAATCAATTTAGGTCGCTCATCAATCCTTATAGTCTTTTACATGATGTGACTATCATATGACATGTGTCTAAAATGTTAAGCTTTAACGACGTTGATAAATTAGCCTTATATGAAGACGAGGACGTCGAAACCTTAGCCGAACAAAGCTACTTTATCGACCTCGTCTAAGCCCAACAATTTAAACACATGCTGGTTATTTTACTACCAAGGTTAAATGACGGTCGCTTTGAAAATTAACATATAACAGTTAAACTATGAGAATCACCCATAGGGAGCTAGCCGATTGTCCAATTCTTCTAAGATGAATCCAGCGTCACAGCTGAGTATACCTCAAAACTTCAGCGCATTAGATCGAATATGGGTTTGAAGCCGATAAGTTAATAGTTCATGGATACTCATTGCCGATTCGAAAGAATCCGCGACGCTTTTCAACAGCAGAGCGCGAATGTTTGATAGAAATTAGAAAAATATTAGACACTTTTTGCATTCACGGCTTGGAATTTCACTTTAAAGTATTTGTGTTAAGCATCGACTCCACTTTTCTTAGACAAAAAAAGGTTAGATAAGGTCTACGGTAGCATTTGCTACGTGCTAGACTACTCTATATGGACAAAAGTAGCCAACCAGTCGTCTCATCAAAGCTAAATTGTTCCTTGATACGCTTTACAGAGACAACAATCTCATCATGTAGAGGAACTGATCCACCAACGAGACCTGTATTTCCAGCCTAAATGTCTTTGATTTACAGCTGGCCCAATATCTTTGCGTTTATTCATGTAACCCTATTGTGGACAATATCAATATACGGGTATAAGTATAAAAAAGGATAGACTTATGCACTACTGTCATGGGAAAACAACTGTTTTATGAGTTTTGTTAAATAACAACCCAATTACTTTTTATTCTTTTTTCATGCAAGGCATAACGTGAGATATAACCACAATGAAACAGATAATTGCAGAACTCTACACCACAGGTGTCTGCGGTGGGGATCGAACACGTCATTACCATTACCACAGGCTACCGTGTTCACCATCACACCATGTGGGTCCGTCATTTCGCCTTTCTCTCAGCGTTGGCCACTGGCAAGGGAAATACCGTGTTCGATCCCTATCGCAGACGCCTGCGGCCCAAAGTTTTGTTAATATCTCATTTTGGTTATTTTTATCAGGAATCACAAAATCACATGGGCTAATGTGTAACACTTTAAAGCCAGTAATGCAAAACTCTTTAAGATTTCAATGAAACGTTGCATACAGTAGGACTACTGTGAATGGTATGAATTAGGAGCGTTATTGTACGTTGCTTAAACTTATAAAGATGAAAGGAAGAAAAGAAAAAGAAAAAGAAGACCAAAAAGTTAAGTAGATAATGAGAAGATGCAGAAACGAGATGTAAAAGCCTGGATACAACGCACCTGTGGCACGACTGCGATTTTTCTTTGTGCACAATGTGCTAAAATAGCCGACACCTCCTCTGTTGTATGTGGTACTACAACACACGCTGGATTACCTGTGTAAGTTTCCATTAAACACATTTATTCATTTATATGTATGTATGTATTTATGTATTCATATGTATGCATGTAGTAAGTATGTACGTATTTATATGTACACTTATTTATACGTATATTTACATGTATGTATTTATATGTATGTATGTTTGTATGTATTTATATGTATATTTATTTATATGTATACTTATTTATATGCGCCACGGATCTCCCTCATATGAGGGATCTGGAGCCGGTTAGTCGCCAGGCTGTGGCGCGCCCTCCGTGGCGGATAGGAGGGTTAATCGCAGACCAAAAGCGACCTTTGCTTCACTGAGACGCAGGTGGATCCAGGGGATGGACTCCCTGTTTCTGCTGCGCTGATTTGGCACATACTTTCTGCATTTGCTAGACGTATTCATGCATGCGTGTGTGGGTGCGTTCTCGCCTTATGTGGATTGTATTTTACGAGTCAATTCGGCCAAAAAAACCCTGCAGTCAAGTAACTGGGAAGTATATGGGAGGCGGTTAGGAATCGCCTCCAACAAATAGGCTCCATGTCCACTCTGGGAGAGCCTAGTAAGCTAGCCGTGAGTATACCCAGCCCCACGTTTAGAGGGCAGCGAGCTATAAGTGGGTATCAAAAGTGCTAAACAGTAAGAAAAAGACGGGCCTCATTCCCCTTACCCCGAAAGAGCCCTCAATTTCGCAGAGTTCGGTAGGACGAGTACGGAGAGGCTGCTAAAATCTCAGGGCTAACGAAAGGTGCCTGGATTTCAAAGAACTATGGTGACGATCTGTGCCTACAATGCACGTACACTTCCATCCGAGTCCTCGATAGAAGACCTGCTCATGCAAGCAAGGATTAGGTACGACGTCATCGGCCTGGCAGAGACGAGGAGACGCCAACCTTTCAACGTCGTCTATAACATCGGAGAAGAACTGTTCCTCGGAACATGCAACAGTAGACGAGCCGGCGGCGTCGGTGTTCTCGTCAACACGAGTTTGTTCATGATTATTGATTTAATCGAACAACTAACAACCCGAATCAGACGTTTATGGTTAAGATGTGGATCAATTCCGGCGTTGACAATCTTCGTCGTTCACGACATCAAGCTATGACGAAGAAAAAGTCGAAGCGTTCCATATGGACTTGGAGAAGTTCTACAGAGAAGGCCATACATTCCTCGAGGTCTTCATTGGAGATTTCAACGCCAAGATTGGACCAAGAAGAACGTCTGAAGAACGTCACATTGGGACCCACGGATTAGAATGGAACGAACAGGGTGAGCAGCTATCTGAGTTTATCATGGCGACTAAGACAATCTATGGTAGCTTGCAATTCCAGAAGCTCCACCCTCAGCGCTGGACGTGGGAGTCTCGCGATGGAGAGTACCATAACGAAATAGACAACATCATAGCAAATAGAAGGTTTCGCCTAACCGATCTCGCTGTTGTGCCAAAATTCTACGCGGGATCAGACCACCGTCTCCTTCGTGCAAGATTCTATTCCTCGCGGAAAGGAGAAAAAGCCGCTAAAATCAAAAAACGAAGTCCCAGAACCACCGTAAACTGGGATTTACTCAACTCATTAGTCGGCTGTTGGGAAGATGCCGTTGTCGATAACATCGACCAAGAATACGATTGGCTCATTCAACACCTTCACGCTAGCGCTATGAAAGCTCGGAGTACGAAAGTCACCAACAGACGTCTGTCTCCAGAAACACTCGAGCTGATACGCCAGTGTGGAAAAGCAGGAGCTGCAGGCAACCGCGAACTAACGTCCGAGCTGGCAAAACAATGCAGACAGGCGATAAAAGAAGATCTTAGAGAGAGAAGAGCAGAATTAATGGCCGAAGTTTCAGAGGCTGGGAAAAGCATTCGCAAAACCCACCGAAGAATCGCCAATTACAAGACCAAAAAGATTGCTCTTCGGCAGCCAGACGGAACAGTTACAGCTTCCTTTCTGGTGAAAGGCAACGGAGAAAATCATTCACGAATACTACTCGAATCTCTTCGATAGCCACATCCACCTTCCGTCACATAAAAAAAGGAGGATGGATATGTTGTACCACCGGTTCTCCCTTCCGAAATCGGACATGCCATTTCGTCGGTGAGAAATCGAACAGCACCAGGTCCGGACAGGATAAAACCAGAACACCTGAAGAACCTTCCGCCAGTCCTCGTAAACACACTGACTCAGCTCTTCACACGTTACCTGTCTGAATGCAAGGTCTCTACTCAGTGGAAGACCAGCAAGACCGTGTTATTATTCAAGAAGGGCGACCCGCACTATATCGGCAACTATCCCCCCCAATCTGCTTACTGTCTGTCGTCTACAAACTTTTCACTCGAGTCATCCGAAACAGGATTGACAGAACACTAGACGAAGGACAGCCATGTGAGCAAGCAAGGTTTCGAAAAGCATTTAGTACGATCGACAACGATAACAAGGCTCATTGAAGTATCGCGAGAGTACAAAAGACCGCCCTGTCTCACTTTCAACGATTCACACAAGGCCTTTGATTTAGTTGAGATGGAAGCAGTCTGGGAAGCCCTTGATAGTCAAGGAGTCCCTGCTCGTTACATAAAGATTCTTCGTGAGCTGTACAAAAATTTCACAACCAAGATATCACCATTCTACAACGATATTAACATTGACGTCAAAAGAGGAGTTAGGCAAGGCGATACCATCTCGCCAAAATCATTTACCGCCACCCTCCAGAAAGCCATGCGAACATTGGAATGGGATAATATGGGAGTGAAAATCGACGGTCGGCACTTACACCACCTTCTCTTTGCTGATGACATCGTCCTTATAACATCAAACATTAGCCAAGCGGAAGGTTTGCTTGACGACTTTGGTAAAGCCTGTGGAAAGATTGGTCGTAGACTAAATCTCA